GTACTTATGGGTCTTTAGGGTCTGGATAAAGACTGAGTCCGCGTCCGGTTCATGCTGATTTGAAATTTTCAGTTCGTCGCGCCGCCTTGAACTTGATACTTACCAGACTGGCAGACATGCGTTTCTCGCTATTAGTGCCCGCCATTGGGACTTTTGTGTTTGGTGCGACCTTCATCGTCGCAGCCCGTCCGAATGATGCTGCGGCGATCCTCCAAGATTTACAGAGGAAGGTTGAAGCCAAGCTACACGAGACAAACAAGACAGCTCCCGGTTCCCTGCCCGGACATGGAGGCCAAACATGCACACTCGCCAACGCTGCCGTCCGCAAAGACTGGTACCTCTACCCCCTTTTCTTTTCATCGAACATCCTCCGCCGTCTCGGGACGAAAGCTCTTGTTGGGGCGGTCCCGTTGTTTGCTGCCAGATTGCCTACCAGTGTTGTTGTTGCCCATGACACGCTAACATTAACCCCGTTCCTATCGAACCAGGGAGCATATGTCCAGACACCAGAAAAAAGACTAAATTAGGGCAGTAAAATGTTGGTGGAAATTGGGGTTGATGATGCGGCGGCGGCGCCTGGGATTTTGCCGACCGAGGAGCTGATGTATGGGAAGGAGGCGCAGGAGATCAGGATAGAGGTGGCGCTGAGGATGCGGGCTGAGATTCTCAAGGTGCGGAAGGCGTTGGGCGGGTATCCCGAGCCCGAGCCGGCGTTTGGGTTGGCTGAGACGTGGCGGCTGGACGAGGATATCGAGGCCAAGAAGTACAAGAGCCGGGTTGATGGGAGTGATATCAACCAGGATTAACTAGAGCGGGGGATATTTTGTTGGGCGTAATCTGGGACGGGCGTGCTATTACAGTGTAGATAAAATCTCTGTTGACCTGGTCAAGTTGTAGACGGTGCGGTGGGCCGGATAGAAGGCGAATGGATGTTTATTCAAAAGCTTTAGAAACCTCCTAGAAACGGTAGGGTTGGTATATGATGAGAGATGTGTATGAAGGACCCTCTTAACTCCGCGGTTTCCTTTGCAGGAAAACCTCGGGGACACCTCGGTGTCTCCTCTAGAATGCATTCCCCTAGCCTACCGTCACAACACCCCAAATTCCCGGCCCGACTCTTACCCTTGCCTTCCCAAAAATAAGCCCCTTAATCGAGCAGGCCCCAAGCAGCATCCATCGGATTATCCAACATCCGCCCCCCTACAATAAGCTCCCACCACTCGACCCTGCGCCAGCGCCTCCGAGTCACCTCACCGCCCCCTCCCCAACATTCCCAGCATTCGTATTTGACGGAGACGACCCCCCCTCCCGCTCTCGCTCCCGCTCCCGCTTCCGCTCCTGCTCCACCACCTTCCCCAGAAACCCCGCCATCGCCTTCGCCTGAAACATGCCCGTATCCTTGTACGCCGTCTCGAGCATGTTCAACGCCCACGCGCGGTGGCGGGTCGGCACGCCGGGCGCACAACCAGCGATTTTCACCTCGAACATCAGCGTCGGCACGCCGGCCAGCCCGATCACAGCACCGCGCTTCGTCTTGTCAAAGCAATCCCAGTGGGTCGGCTGCAGCGTGGGGTGCCGGTAGTGCGTCGGGATGGAGACCAGAATGTCGCGCGCCAGTCGTCGGATCCAGCTGAGGGAGCGTGTTTGCTGCTCGGGGGGGATCAGGGGCGCGCTACTGGTGGGGAAGCGGGCTACGCTCTCGAGGAGGAGTTGGTTGACGAGGATGTGGGCCCAGCGGTAGTGGTTCCAGACTCGCGCGATGTATGTGTTGTCGTAGACGTGATAGCAGCCGTCGAGGACGGCCTCGGAAGGGAAAAAGTCGTCGTCGTCGGTGCGCTCTTCGATAACCGCCCATATACCCTCTTGCCGCCCCTCCCATGCCTCAAGGTCCCGGTTGATCTCCAGTGCTTCGCGAATCAGTGTGGCTGTTTTGGGGCGCCCGTCGAGATGCGGTTGGCTGCGGACGAGGGCTGACAGCTGGACGAAACGTGCAATGACTTTGATGAGTTCGGCTGACGGCAGGTCACATTCTGATACCGTGCTGTCGATGGTCGCGATCCAGCTGAAGAAGGTGCCGGGGAGAGCCCCCTCGCAATGGCGGTCGATGTGGGTGGGGATCACGACGTTCGGTTCTAGCGAAGAGTGCTGGAAGGAACCCTGCCTTGACGAGACCATCGAGAAACACAGCTGTAGGAGCCCTCGAGGACCATCCGCTGGCGACTGCGGCAGGGGTAGAGAGTTGTTCAAGATGGCGGCACCGCCCATGACGTGTGTTCGCGCGGGACTCGAAGGCTCGTTCCCGCCACGTATGACCTGCCGACAGTGAGTTAGCTTGCTGCTGTCTTTGTCGCAGCCCAGCATGTCCCCAAACCCCCGTCCCTGACAGCTGAAGCTTACCTCGTACATGGCCATCATCACCACGGTTCGCATTACAAGGTCCAGTTCGAGACTTCTCGGATCTCGGACGGAAGAAGACACATTGCGCAGGGCGAGACCGTAATGATACCTCGACAGCGTGCTCAGCTCCTTATCGCCAGTGAGATTTGACAGGCCGGCCAGTCCCACGGCGGCTATGATGTCGCGCGTTGCCCGCGAGTGAAACCATTTTACCCCTTGGAGCTCGTGACCTGCCCTCGGCTCGTCCGGAAGCCCGATTACGTAGTGCTCAAGATAGAATTGGATGCCTTTCTCGACAGGAGTAGCGTATATCTCCTTTACCAAACGCTTTCCTGCGCTTGTCTTTCGACTGTTGGTAGTGAGTGTAGTGGATGGTGGCGGAACGGCCGCTTCTGGCGCTGATGATCGGCTTCTTGCTGAGGAGGGTGACATGGACGTTGGTGAAGAGCCGGACGAATCTCCCAGTTCTGATAGCTCGGATACTCCTCCCCACTGGGCATGGGCTTTTTTCATGACCTTGTTGCTTTCATCCCGGAACATCAACGAAAGCTGGTCTCGGTACCCTGGGCATTGTTTGCGAACTCGTACACATTGCGTGCATTGCGGTTGGACTTTGTCGCACTAATTCGGGTCAGCATGGGATGTCTCTTGAGGCCCTTGTCCTCGAGGATTGCCGAAAACTGAAGAAACGGGTTGGCAAGGCGACAGGTCTCTGATTCTGTGAAACACGACCAGACCAGCAGCTTGCAGATTTTTGTCCCATACTTCTCCAACAATTAAAAGAGAGAAACAACGGCTCGGCACGAATCTTACCTTGATGCGTCTTGTCCGACAACTCTGGCAACCCTGGGATGCCTTGCCACAATATACCATGGTTGATATCACTCACAGGCGTGGACGAGGCAAGGCCCAGAACGGGTATTCAGTTCGCCAGACCAAACGTGGGATCCAACTCGCACCGAGAGTTCGGGATGCTACTCAGGTAATAGCGGGAAATCGGAGACCTGGCCGGGCAGGTCACACAGGGGACCCAGGACGTCGGCGACCGAGAGATGGCAGTAAATGAGCGGCAGTCCACTCCTGCATGCCGTGCGTCGGTTTGGGGCCTCGGATTCGCTTTGGTAGGGCACAAAGCATACTAGTCACGTAGAAACGTATCCCAGCATCGCTCAGTGAATAGCCACTAATAGACTCTCTCCAGAACCGGATGGAGACGGAAGCCTAGGCTGGCTTCCGCGGTGGATGAGGTTGCAGTCAACTACCTTAAGTAGTGTGGCTCCTCTGCAATGGCGGGGGCAGCTCCGGTCCTTTGTTTCTGTTCCTCACCAATGGCGCTGCTGCTTTGGCGAGAGTTCGCCGACTAGCGCGGAGGGAGGATGCCGGCAAACGGTGTCCGGCTCTAGACGCAACGGCGCAAGGCGAGTCCCCCAGCTGGAAACGGGCTGACGGGGCGTTGGAAAAAGAACGAGAGCGGGAAGAGGGTCCAGGATCGGCACCGGTCGAGAAGGCAATTAAGTGATGAGCAAGGAGAACCTTGCAGAGGCTCCAGAAATGGATAAATCTCAACAAAATCGCCAACCCGAAACACCCATAATTATCGCAACGGGGAAACTAATGATTGACGCTAGACGCCGTTGGAGCTGCTTTTCCATGGCCGATTTTCGGTAAGAGATGTTGAGAGACGTCCGTGTTCTGGTCTAGGTGCATGCAAATGCGACCCTGGCCTGTAACAGAAGCTCGTTAGCTCCCGTTTCCCCTGATGCTAGGCCTGACTGGTAGTGGGGTTTGAGTTCGCTGCAAGGCCTCGGTCGATGAGCACCACGGACGGTAACTAGGTACCGGACATTTGCGCATACTGAGGTGTGTCGGGAACCATCTCCCACTTTCTCTTCTTGAACGAGAAGCCATGGAATCAAATCCCCCTCAACGACAACTTAACCCCCCAAGGGTTGGGTGCAATGGAAAAGACAAGCAGCATACCTAATCACCTCGGGCAGTTGCTGGGCATTGGTGCTGGTTTCCCTGCGGCCAATGACTGAGATTTCTGGGCCAAGACAGGAAGGAGGAGAAAAGCCGCTAGCCCGTGACCCCCGTTAACACGGACCACCGCCGTCAGTCCTTGCCTGCCGGCAAAGCCCTTTGGCCAGCAGAACGCGGCAGGCAACCGGGCTGGGAGGGGAAATGAGAAGATGTTTTACCTCGTCCCTGACAAATTCAAACTGCGTCGCCCAGCTTCTGAGTTTCGCAGATCCACATAACTACAATTACCAGGTTGTCGTGAGCAAGCCTGATTGAAAGTGTCGAGATATTTCCAATTTAGTTAGCTAAAAACTCACCGGCTCGGTGTCGCCAGATGTGACGTTTTGCCTTCAGGTCGGCATTAAACCCAGCCCACTTTCTCCTGGTGTTCAGTTTGGACTGGACTGTTAACCACCGGCCAGAGGATGAAACACCTCAGTTTGCTAACTGCCTCTCGGTCTTTCAAAGCATGCCGTCATTGACCGTCACCTGCCAATCTGCGCTGGAATTATCCCAACCGCAAAGGACCTCAGAGAATCTTCTCCTTGGGCGGCTAAGCATCTTCTCTTCCCGTACCGAGCCAATATTGCGGCTCAACTTGCTGGAAGTGCTGTTTGTTTCACTACCGCGGAAACAGGCCGTTGTTTAGGTTCTAACCTCTCAGTTACCTAGGGAGCAGGAATTAACTACCTAGTTACCGACCAACTTGGGTAAAATAGGTATCTAAGAGGCTGCCATCAAAATACAACGTTTGTGCAGAGAGGTGAATGGAAGAAGCGAATTGCAAGAATCATATCTGAGCACAGGGAACGGGTCGATCAACTTCTATGTCATTTCTAATGGATGTCGAATCTTGGTAGGTTCCGGCAGTCAAAAGCGCACATGCGAATCAGATTCGGCAGCGGCCGGAGATTTGTAGGGGATGCGAACGGGCCGGCGCGTGCCCGGGCCCGGACCCGGACCCGGCACTGGGCAGGCTTATACCATCCCGAGATGGTGTGTTCAGCTGATAGGACGCAGAGGTACATAAGGTAACTCCCTCCTGCGCAAGCTCGGCCACAGCTCGGGTGGTTGCGGCTCTTCGCACACTGAAACCCTTCAACCAAAAAAAGCAAAAAAAGCTGAACTCGAAAGGGGAGCAAAATATAAAAAATAATAAGAGAAACCGAATCGAACAACAAGAATTTGGGCCTCCAGATAGCTTTTTCTCCGTTTCTTTAGTCGACCGTTTTGTCGGTACCTGCAGTTGGAGTCCGGCTTTTATTGCCCATGATTTTGCCCATGCGGGTTTGGGCGCCCTTAGTCACCTCTAGGATATAGTTAGTTAACTATTGCCTAAGTTGCAAAACCATCGTGTATTAGTCATGCGGCCTGGTGGGAGGGAGTAAAAAATGGAAATAAAAAAAAATAAAAAAAAAATAGAGGCAAATGATGAACTCATTGCCTCCCCCTATTAACCGTATTGTTCTTGTTCGGTCTCTTATGGTGTGAGGGGTCAAACGCGCAGGCGAAGCATGGAAGTGGGGGCTGCACAGCAGGTGGTGGCAAACCGCGTGAGTGAGGTTCAGATTGCCAAGCCATGGAAGTTCTGTGCTCTTTTCTGTGGGCCGGGCCCGAACTCGCCCAAACCAATTTTCTGAAGCACCACCACAGGTTTGCGATTTTAGAAGTTGCGCAACAAGCTGCAAACGAGCGCCTCCTTCCTCCATCTCCCACTCCGCTGGAGCAGTTTTTTTCCTCTTCCCCGCATTCCCTTTCGCAGACGGATTTCCCTCTGTACTCTTCTCCCCACTCCATCTCTTTTGCCCCCTCTCTCGCCCTTGCCCGATATCAAGTTGAAGGTGCGCGCGAGATTAGGTAACTGGAACCTGACGTATCTGGCTGGTGCTTTCTGAACCGAGCATCGACCTTCACCCTCTGGAACTGTACGGCCCTCAATGACCCAGCAAACCTTTTCTTTGAACTTGTGCTGACCTAGCTTCTTTTGCTAGCCATATCGTTCCCCCTCCTCCGATTGCTGAAGACCTTTGCGCCTGTCGACGCACCCCTCACACACACGCCGAATTTTGGCATTCGCTTTGAACAGCTATTTCACCCTATCCTAGGAACATATAGCAACCATGGCGACCAACGGTAATGTTAATCACGACCAGTATGCTGCTCCGGCCCAAACAACAGAGGCCCCGGCCAGCACCGGCACAGAGGGCACTACCAACAACCTTCCCAAGGATGAGGTCGGCTGGTACTTCGTGGAACAATACTACACCACGATGAGCAAGTCGCCTGAGAGACTGCATGTGAGTTTAATGCCTCGCCAATCCTGGCATGGAATCGAATTGACCGTCTCCGCAGCTGTACTACGGCAAGAAGGCGCAGTTCGTTTGCGGTCGCGAGGCACAGGTCGTCAATGTTTCGTTCGGCAGACAGGTAAGTGTCGACTGCAGGGTCGTCAAATGATGGGAGCTCATGTTGACCCGTTCCAAACAGCCCATCCAGGACCGTATTAAGAGCATGGATTTCCAAGATTGCAAAGTCCGGATCTCCAACGTTGACACCCAGGGCTCCGAGGAGAATATTCTCATCACTGTCATCGGCGAGATGGCCAACAAAGAAGCGGAACCTAAGAAGTTTGTGCAGACATTCGTTCTTGCCCAACAACCGTCCGGCTACTTCGTCCTCAACGACATGCTCCGGTTCCTGAACGACGATGTGGAGGAGGAGACCGAGGCGGCCGCTGAGGAGTCCTCAGCCCGTGTCGAGATGCCCGTCGCCCTCGAGGCCGAGACTAAGGCCGAGCCTCCCGCTCCAGAGGAGGAGGTCGCCCAAGAGGAAGAAGCTCCCTTGGAACCCGAGGTCGTTGACGAGAAGTTGGAGGTAGCTGCTGAGGAGGCCCCCGAGGTTACCGCCCCTTCTGCCCCCGAGCCTACCGCCGAGGTGGAGCAGGCTGCTGCCGTGGAGGAGGAGGTGCAGCCCCAAGCCGACGTTGAGAAGGCGGTCGAGGAGATTGCTGAGGAGGACGTTGAGAAGCCGGAGGAACCCAAAGACCCCGCCCCTACGCCCGCCGCTGCCCCCGCTCCGGCCCGTACTCCAGTTCCCGCCCCCGCTCCGGCTCAGCCAGAGAAGCCCAAGGAGCCCCCCAAGCCCATGTCTTGGGCCAGCCGGGTGGCTGCTGGAGCCTCGCGGCCCGTTGCCCCTATTCCTAAGGCCGCCACGCCTCCCGCTCCGGCTCAGGTGCGCGCTCCAGTCCCTGTTGCCCCCCAACAAGCCGCACCGGCCGCACCGGCCGCTCAGCCGCAGGAAGCTCCTGCGCCCGCCGCCCCCAAGGATCAAGGTAGCGAGTGGCAAACCGCGGAGACCAAGCGCCAGAGCCGTGTCCAGCCTGTCGCTGCCGCGCCCGCCGAGAAAGAGGGCGCCATGGCGTACATCAAGTACGTCACTGATAAGGTCAAGGAGGAGGACTTGAGGGCTGCTCTGACCAGCTTTGGCGAGCTGGCCTATTTCGACATTAACCGCCAAAAGGTACGAGTCTAGAACCCATGCGCACCATGAGCGACGCTTGACTGACTTTTATTCTTTTCCAGAACTGCGCTTTTGTTGAGTTCAAGACCCAGGCCGGCTACAACGCCGCTCTTGCCGCCAATCCCCACACCGTGAACGGCGAGAACATCATGGTCGAGCAGCGCCGCCCCAAGGCCAATGCCTACGGTGGCGCTAACTACAACGCTGGTCGGGGTGGTCCTGGGCCGCGGTGGCCGTGGTGGGTTCGAGACTTCCCGGTCCGGCAGCCAGGGTGGTGGTCGCGGTGGTTTTACCGGCCAGTCCCGGGGCCGCGGCGGCGGCGGCGGCGGCCCGCGCGGGCGGGGGGTTTCCCAGGCCGGTGCTGCTTAGTTGGCAACCACCGCCTAACGTCTGAACTGTCGCTGCCTTGCGCACGGAAACCGAAGCCGGTCTCCGCAGCGAGTGACTATTCACCTGGACATTTCGTTATATCGTATCGACATCACGGCGGGGTTTTTATGAGTTGGGTGGCGAGGGCATTTATTGGTGCGTCATGGAGTAACGGGGTATTATGGATGAGGTTAGGACAGGAAAACCGACCAAAAGAATCACTTATGGATGTCTCTTTTCGATGCAAAGGTTGTGCTTTCCATGACATAAGGGACCTGCGTTGAGTGTTGGCGTTGCTGGATCCGACGGGCTCTTATCTTTGCTCTTTTCGCTGTCTCGTTTGCCTCCCTGCCTTTGCCGCCTTCAATCATTTTTGGTAATCCGTTGGTTTTTCGTTTTGGAAGTCGGAAAGTGATGGCACAGCGGTACTGGGTGGCCTGTACAACGAAGAATGAGAAGGTCTGATGAGCCGGGCTAGCTACTTGGCCATGGGGTGAAGGATTCCTTCTGCCTCAACCTTTCCGCCAGGCTGTCCCGCCCCTACGACATGGATAGGCGGGCGATACGATCAAGGGGCACTGGACAGGCATACATACATTAGTAGGCAGCACAGGAAGATCAGCGTACCTAGCTTGCCAGGCTTAGACGTGATGTGTAATGATACCTAGTTATGGCGCGTAATCCGACTTATCTGTGTGTGCGTGATGGTGGTGTGAACGGATCCAGGATATCCTCGATGTTGTGGCATCAAACGTTATTATAACTGAATAACTGTGGTCGGTCGGGACATACCTAAGGTACTGTGGGTAGACAACCATGGGACCAGGCCACAACTAGGTCGCTCTAGGCAGGTTGATATCAGGGTGGTTTCCTTTAGACTGGCTGCTCTCTGGCGACGATGAGCGCTTGGTGGGTGTCACGGTCAGGGGAGGAAACTGCCAAACTCCAAAGGATGGTTCCTCAAGAGGTTCAAGTAGCAAGGACTCGAGAGCAAGGCAGTCGTATCAAGTTAGTGCATAGATAGTTTTTGCGGTGGCGTTTGAAGTGTTGGCTTTTCTCGTGTCATGGGTGGTGTTGAGAATCTGGTGGGCAGCAAGGGGTCAAAACATGCCCCCGTCACTCCGCATTTACAGCGCGCCAACACCGTTTTAAAACAAGACAAGATTAATCCCCGGGGAATCATAAGTAGGTGCTGATGTTTAACAGATTATTTGTTACCCCGTTGCCTGGGAATGTTGGGTACGTCCACCCCAAGTTGAGCTCTCGCCCTTGCCTTGCGGTTTCACTCAGGCATGAAGGCGTGTGGCTTTGCATTTATTACGAGGCGTGTTTACAGAGGTGCGTCCCAAAAACCACAGCCGAATGATGTCAAGCATGTGCCAAGTAACTGAGCGGGCACTTTCTGTTGTGATGCCGACGTAATTCGATCATCGTGACTCCCAATTAGCTTCGAACGGAAACAAGTGTCTGCGTACTTTTTGGATCTTGGAAATTTGGACAACTTCGGCAGGCGAGATAACCCTCTGGAATCGTTCCAAGAGCGATCACTGGGAATGTTGGTTGATCGATTCTTTTGGGGGTTTCGGGATATTGGATGGCTGTGATAGGGAAGCGCCGTTATGACGGCGATCCTGAACGGCGGTCCTGTTTCACAACATCTCGGATTTCATGATATGTTCCGAGACGATCGAGCGCTCTTCATGTTCACGGGGGCAAGATCACCTTGACAAGGACCGGAAGGCGGGGTCGTCTTTCAACTGGGGGATTATGTTGCCGTCGATCGCAGACAGGTCGCTCAAGGCGCCCCAGGTCCGCCCTGGGGATCGACAACTCCGCCGCTTGCCGAGTCGAGACCAGGCAATGCTGGCCCGCTCCCCACGGAATCTGCCACGACCCGGTTCAACCGGTGAACGGTCAGGGGAATCACGTCACTGGATCGCCTTGGTGATCGTCCACCAAACGTCGAGGGATCGGCCCTCGAGTGCCGACAGGTTGTTCCGAGGCATTGTCGACTGCCTCACCAGCCGCACCGGGGATGGATCACTGAAACAAGGTTTTCGGAGACGGCAGACTCATCATTTCTTTCCCATTGGGAAGTCTCCCCCGTGCTGACGTCCGATAGCGCTTTCCACGTGGTCCGCAACTCCGCCCCTCGCCGGCTCCGGAGCGATGGTGGAGGACAGAACCACGGGGCTCCATGGGGTTGACCATAGCCCTGTCGACCCCCGCGTCCGCCAGGCCGGTTCGGGAATGGGTAATCGAAGAAACGTCTGTCAAACACCGTCGGGATCGTCTGTGAGGCGGTCGGTGCAGAGTAAGCTCCAAGGATGCGGGTTATCAACTCGACCCGATGCCGAGTTCCGGGCACCAACGAGACCGGCTGCTCGTGTTGGGAAGAGAGCTTGGGAGACTTGGGAGCAGCATTGTTAGGCGCCAACTTCTTCTCGAGGCAGCATTTCCCGCATCCAATCCATCACGCGGTAAAAGCATCCGCAAAACAGCCGTAAAACAACCGCAAAAAGCCACCGAGCACATCACGGCCTGTGGCAGAGTGGCGACGGCCATGTCCCTACCTGATCTCTCTCCACTTGCACCATGTATTTGAGAGAATGGCTCGAATGGGTTTTTGCTGCACACAGCTTCTCGCCTTCCTTGTCCGGAGACGATCAACTCCGGCCAGCCACTCGTGGAAGAAAAACGGCAAGGGCAAATCGTTACCGCGCCCTTGCCGAAGATCATGTCGGGCCTGGCAGCGCTTGCTCCCACCTTCCCGAAAGGTCAACCGCACTCTAACTAACGGAAATCGATGGTCTGGACCCACCCGGACCCCACCAGACGGTTCAGCCTCGAGGGGAGATGGCGGCGCGGTTGCCGAGAAGTCCACAGATGGGAGAGGAAGGTGCGGTTTCATGAACAGCCTGGCTTGTTCTTGTTGGTCTCGCCTGCCCGTCGAAGAGCAACAATCAATGGCCAGACACCGAAGCAATGTGGTAGTCGGACCCTCCGTCCAACAACCGCCCACGCAGGGGAGCCGGGACCGAACCAGAGAGGTTCTTTCGTCAGCTCCTCCATCGCGGCTCCTACCTGCCAAGTTCAGCTGCTGCACGGAGTTTGGGGAAATGGACCCTGCTGTGGTGTGGCGACAGGAAGCGACCGAGAAGTGCTTGGTGTACCAGGTTCCGTTGCTTGGTTTGACTGCCTTCTAGAAACGACAGAGGGAGCACAAGCCGAGGCGCCAGCCCACGGCACAGGCTCCAGCTCGACCCGATGCAGCCAGCTGCACGAGGTGCTAGAATGTTTCGGGCAGAGATGGATTCGGATGGCTCCTTGGGAAGAGAGAAGCGATGATCGTGCTGCAGTGCGTTCTTGACTCTTGAAACATGTTCGGTCTGCGAAAAGAAACACGAACGGGTGAATTCTTGTCCAAAACGGGGGTCCAACTTTGGCTCGACCTCATGAACCCTGCTGTCCGACTCCATGCGGACCCTCAACCACCTACCCGGAACAGCCTAGCCCAGATTTGTGCGAGGCAACGCCCACACCCTTTGATTGGCGCTTGTCACGCCTGGCTCGCCCATCGACACGGCGGGGCCGAGTTGGGATGAAGTTGCGCAAGCACCTCCCTGACGTGGAGGCCGCATTGCTCTGGGAAGAAACAAAAGAGAAAGAGACGTGGGTGCGACCGGGCATCACGCGATGCTACTATTCGTTTTTAATCTACTATATGCCAGACATGAGGCGGGAGCCGAGAAGAGCTATTCTCAGCGTCGCAGAGAGATGCAGAGCCAAATGAAATTTGATGGAATGCAATTGCTGGACCCCAACGGCTCCTGGAAACCCAGTCGGGTAAAAGAGAGCAACCCGGCACAGCATTTGGGCGAGCTGTCACACCTTGCACAGGACAGGACATGGAAGCCCATGGCGAGAGCTCTGTCGTGTAATCCGGATCGGCCATTCGCTCGACAATCCCATGCAAGCGAGCGACACTGCTGCGAATCTAGATGGTGCTTCTCGACTGCACTTCATACTGTTGGCTGCCGGTCTAGGTACACTCGGCAGTACTGGAAACCCAATTCGCCTTCCTCAACGGTAGGTGCGGAACGGGAGATCGATATTGGGGATGATGAAGGTCGGGTCGGGTCTCAGTTGTCCGATTGAGAAGAGACAGGGCACTTGGCACGGATCCAGGGATCCGGGCGCCATCAAACCCACTGAAATGCTGACGGGCCGGGGTGGCTTTCAGCCCCTCAACCTGTCGCCAAGCAGTCACTGATCGATCAGGTAGGATAATTGGCACAGCTTCCGCATCCCGTCACTTCGCCCGTTCTCCATCGTCGTTTCCACTTCTGCCAATTTGGTAGTCTCAACTGGCACCTACCTTGCGGGCCACGTCAAAGTGACTGCCCATTCCGCTTTCCGTGTTCCGCTCTTGCCCGCAACGTTAGCGCCAGTTCCGGTCGCATTCCGCTCGTTACTTTGTGCCCTCTTCACCTTTCCTTCCCTGAGGTGTCTTTTTGCAGTCAGTCATCCGATCTGGGCATCCCGACTTCTAACGACGCACCTCGAAGCCCCTGCATTTACCACAGTTCCCGCATAAACACCACGGCGCTACTGCTGCTTACCCTAGACGGCATTACAGCCTCTTTTTTTTGGATGTTGTTGGTGATTTTGGATGAGGAGTTTCGCGGCCTTGGCAACCACCTCATCTGAACGATCGATATATCTCGGCATCTCGTGTAAGCCAGACTTTGCGCGGGAGGGAGAGAGGGCCTGTCAGAGCCAAGGGGTGCAGCACCGAATCAGAAAACCGCACCCAAGGACCGTGAGCGTGGCATTCTCACATCGCCTGTCTAGTACCCCCGGAGGACTCCACTCGACGCTGTTCCGGAGCCGGGCATGTCATGCCGGAGAGGACCGGGCCAGCAACCGAGTGAGTCAGGGCTCACAAACACAACACCAACACCAACACACCCAAAGGGAGGAGGGGAGGGGGAGGGGGAGACGGAACGGGCTTGGTCCCCATTTTCGACAAAGCCGCCGCCGCCGCCGTAGTGCGCAAGGCCGTAGCACCCCTCATCCACCACCCCGTCGAGAGGAGGTACCCGTCCCTGTCCCATGGCGCGGAGACCTAGCGATGCCTTCTCCCAGCACAGCGTCGGCAGCGACGCGCCGTCCGGGCGCCCGCGCCGCATGTCGATGGAGGAGGACATGTTTTACCGCGAGCTCATGACGTCGCGGCCCGCCAAGCCACCGAGCTACGACTCGGCCGTGAAGGCCGCCGTCGCCGCGCAGAGGAGGGCCCAAGCAGCTTCCGGGCAGGGTATCGCCAGGCACATCACCGAGGATGTGCTGCCGCAGTATTCGTGCGCTGTGCATATGGAGGGGGTGTTTATGCGCAAGATGGAGATCGAGGAGACGACCAAGCGAGCCGAGTACCGCGACTGGAGGATGGTTTACGTCGAGCTGCGGGGCACTGCGCTCAACGTCTATTCGGTCAAAAAGGAACGTGGGTGGTGGTCGTCCTCCAAACATGACGGGCCCGACATTTTGCCCGACAACCCGCCGTGGGTGAAGAAGTCGACGTTGGAAAAGAGCTACAGCCTGCTTCATGCGGATGCGGGGATAGCCGCCGACTACAGAAAGTGCGTACGCTCGGGATAGGGAGCCATCTTGAGGGACTAGAAGCTGACCAAACCAGGCGACGATATGTCATCCGCATGAGAGCAGAAACAGACCAGTTCCTACTGTCGTGCGTCGAACTCGGCACATTTGTCTCATGGTTAGACGGGATATTCGCCGCCATCAACGTGTCACCACCAATCGACGAGCGTGACTTCCCCCGAGATTTCAGCGTACCACGGATTCAACGGATACGATGGCTGCGCGGGCAACGCCCACAGCCCGAAGACAGCATCGGTCCACCGGCTGACCGAGCAGCGAAGGCAAGACGGGAGTGACGAAGACGAGGACGGCGATGAGAGGTGGAGGTGACGAACCAGCAGATCTGGATTACGGAGGAGACGAAGACGGAGCCGCCGGGTACGGCCCGCGGACCGACCACCCGATCGTGGGGCGATTATCGACGACATCGTATCCGAACGAGAGCATCGACCCCGAGACGGGCAAGTGGAAGCCGCAACACGGCTGGAGCACGACACACGACCTGCTATACGCGCGGCTGTGCTACAGTGTGCTGCTGTTCAAGAGCCCGCGCAAGAGCAACTATGTGATTGCGCGGGGTAAACGCTGGTACGTGGACTGGGGTACCGGGCGCATGGTCCGGGCGCTGCCGCCGGCGTATGGCGAGCTGGATGTTATGGGCCCGTGGCAGGTCATCATGCCGGAGAACAGGCTGATTTAAGGGCGCGGTTGCTGAAGCTACGCTGCCCGTGGCGGTTGTGCCACGGTCGTGCGCTACGAGCAACCCCCTGCGATATACCTTTGCTTTCTTTTTGTCATACCAGCGGCGTGGCGTTCTTGGGTATAGGCGGAGCATCTGGCGAGCTTTTTTCTTTTGCATATCCTTAGGCATGGCACTCGGAAGTCGCGGACCGGTGGGCGGGTCGAGCATCATATACCACTTTTTCTTGCATGTAAAACGGAATCCCGGGGAGACTGGGGGGTTCTCGTGTGATGGACATACCAGTATATACCGGGAGCTTTTGGAAGGAACACAGCAATAATTGATACCAATTTGGTTTGATTTGTTTTGAACTCGTGGCTTTCATTTGGCACTCTTATATGTGAACGGAACGCCCTCAGTGAACGCCTAGATATCCAGCATTAAACCTAGCCCGCAACGCCAACCCTATGCTCCCTTTCCCGCTTGGCCCCTTGGCTGCGCACTCAAAACCACCCGGCTTCTCGTCCACCTTATCCCACCCTCCACTTTCAACCATCCTACATCTATCTCACCTACTTTTCAACAACAAAAACAACAAGCCCCTATTTACTTACCCCCTATTTATTTACACCACCACCCCCACCAACACTACCAACACTAACCCCCCGCACATCCTTCTCCGCCGCCCGCGTCTCCGCCGCCAACTCGTCCGCGACCTCGCCCAGCAATGCGTTGGCGCCCTCCGTGTCGCGCACCGCCTTCTCCACGCCGGCCAGCAGCGCCTCCATCTCGGCCCGCTGCGCCCGGATCTCGTCCCACAGCCGCGCGTTGGCCGCCTGCGTGTTTTGCAGTTTGGCGTTGAGCTGCGATTGGTGCGAGGCCAGGTGCGGGGTCAGGTGGGCGTGCAGGATGGTGGGGGCGGGGAGAGTGTGTGGTCTGCGAGGGGGTTAGGTGGTGGTGTTGGATGATGGGGGGAGGTAATGGCGGGGGGGGAGGGGCGGAGAAACGGGAATGGGAAAATGGGGAGGAAAGTAAACAAACATACGGAACTGGCGGTGAATTTGGGTCGTCGGATTCTGTCCTCCGCCGGGCAGCGTCGCTGACTAGTTCTTCTAGCTCGTTCAGCCGTGCCACCACCTGCCGGTTGGTCATGATGGTCTCGAATTCTTTCTGTGGTCCATGTTAGCTTTCCTGTTGTCCCGAAATTGAGTGCAAAATCAACACCAAACAACCAGACCGCCTAATAGCCCCCTGAACTTGGTGGATGTAAACAACCCCCTTTCTCCCTTCCCCCTTTTCCCCCGTCCCCCCACCCTCCCAAACAACAACCCACCCAACCCCAGCCAAAAACAAAAACAAAAGAACAAAACCCAAAGAAAGAAAAACGTACATTCCACAACCCCCCCAGCCGCTCCACCATCTGCCGCTGCACAAACTCCAGCGTCCCCGGCGCCTTATCCGAAATAGTCGGGAAGCACGCCCCAAAATTCTCCTTGTTGATCTTGTCCAGCGTGTGTTTTGCCGTCGACGCAAACAGCGCCTGCAGTCGTGCCGCGCGCGGACCGGGTGCTGGCGGGGGTGGCGGCGGTTGTTTCTTTTCTTGGGGTTCCCGGGTTTCTTGGGGTTGGTCTTGGGGTTGGGATTCGGGTTGGTTTGGGGGGGGGGGTTCGGTTGCTTCGGTGGTGGTGGCGGCGGAGGGGTCGGTTTGACTGGGTGGTGCTGGTGGTTGTTGGTGGTGGTGGTCGGGCATCTCGGTATCTGGGTCCTGTGGTTGTGGTTGGCGCTGGTGTTGCGCCGGGGCGGGAGGGTCTTGTTCGGAGGCCATTTTCGGGTGCTGCTGTACCCACTGATGAGATAGCGTGGTAATTGATCCGGTACGATAATTGCGCAGCGCTTGGCCGGATGTTGACCGTTCCGACCACACCTGGCTGGAGTCAAAAATGCTTCGGTGGTTGTCGCGTCGCGCTTAGAATCCATTTGATGCGGCGCGTTAACCCTTGGCGGCGGGGTGCAGCGACAGGGGACCCAGCAAGACGCGGAACAGCTCGCCTTGTTGCTTGGTGCGCCGAGGCTG